TGCTCACTCCCTCCCCCCCCCCCCCCCTTTTTTGGGTTTTTTTNTGCGAGTCTGTGGTCGAAAAAGGAAAAATAGGCTGCTAATGAGAGTTTATTGCGAGGGTCGTGACTCGCCACGGTGCGCGGAGGCGCGGTAGATAGCGGTTTTCGATATTGAAAACGATTAAAGAGTCGTAACTGAGCGTAAGATACGGTAAGCGTGCGCGAGGGTTGAAATTGCAGGCGCAACCCGGCGCAATATTAGCAAATTACACGGCGCAGTGGCATTAGGCGGCGCGCAGAAGACGTAAGAATGTGTCTAATTACACACCCGTTCCGCCACGAAGACTCGTTTAAGCGGCAGATTATCCGCTGTTGAAATTTCGCGAAGCGCTTCAGGTACGAGCGCGACACGACGACTCATTTTGCGAGCTCCCGATGCGAGTGCATGAAACTTATTAATAAAGTACACTGATGATAATGATGTAATATTCGAGATAATTTCCACTCCGCATGAAATACTCGTTACATCTCGAAAGCGTCACATTGGACGCGTTCGCGACTTTCTGCGATTGAGATGAGATCTGAGCTTCTGCCTTTTAAACACGTCGACTGCCATGGGGGGCCACCGGCAATGTAATATCGCCGTGTCTCATGAATTTTCGCATAAAACGTAACCGTGTATAACAAATTATTAGTAAAATTAATGAGATTATTATTAGTAAGATCTCGGATACGATTGGAGAATTATTATTCAGCACAGTGGAAGAAAAACATTGCTACATTCAATATAATATTTACTCGATCAAAATCAAATAAAATAAACTACTTCAATACTCCTTAGTAAATATTTACTTGAACGTGGCAATTCTTGTTTTCGGTGTAGCGAAACCACGCATCGTTGCTACCGCATATTTGTTGTAGCAGCAATAAAATTTAGTCAGCACAATCAAATTATCGAATTATTCGCAATTAGAGCAGAAACAGTCGCCAGGATAGAAAATACTCTGCCGGGTGAATTTAGCACACGTTGATTTGCTGTTATAACAAAATAGCCTCTCCCTATATTTACCGATTTCTCTTTACAGCGAAATAATTTAGAAATTCAGCAAAATAATCCAGCGAGTGGCCGATTATACAGTAACTGACAGATTTTGTCGCGTCATAAATCAAGCTTGTTATGCAGATTATTCTTCTCCGTGTACGCGAATTGCACTTATTTACCGTATTTTTGGCAATTCGAGCTTTTGAGTTAAACGTTGAAATAATTGACGGAAATCAGCATGGCGGTGTTAACTAATCGAAAAATGAAAAAGAGCGTCCAGGTGTTTCTAACGGGTCTTCTCGATCAGGTCTTCAGGATTAATAACATACGATTCTTCGCGATTGTACGATTCATCGACGGATTCCGCCCGATTCGTAGAGTCACTCGCTCCAACAGCACGCAGCAGATGCCTGACGCAGCCGATTCGACCCCGTCGAACCGCCCGCGATAGCAACGTGGTATTTACTATCGATCGCGATTTGACTCGGATACATCCAGCGCGAAACCGGCGGACTGTAATTCGCCGCCCGGCGCGGAAAAACTCGCAGAACCGGCTGTGCCGTATTTTTGTGGAAACTCACGGCCTCTCCGCGCCGCGTTCGCAGATTAATTGCAGCAAAGAGGAAATTACTCCAGCTACGCGATTACGTAAAAGATCGTCACTCCGCCAGCAGCGACGAGCGCGCGCGTGCATGCATGCATTATTAATACCGAGCACGTGCTATTAGGGCTACCCATAAGTAATGTCGCTTTTCGATTCTTGTACAAAATATTATTTTATTTAACATTTAGTTCTTTCAAAATTTCACAACTTTCAAAGCACACTAAATGTCAATAAATTTAATTATATAGATTAGGTAATAATAAATCATGTTCGCGAACAAGGTGGCAGTGTTTATTCAATCTGAAAAAAAAAAATTTTACTTATGGGTACCCTTAATATTACTAATTGCGCGCCCCGCGCAATCCCGCTTTCGACTTCTCTCGCGAGAAGTTTTTCGAGTCACTCCGCAAACTCGGTACTGATATGATACGATACACGGCGACAGTAACGACCCGGTGTTTACCGGGAGATTCGAGAGCGAAGAGTCGAATAAATAAATCGGTAATATCAGCCAGCCAGGGAGAAAGAGAGACTAGGACGGGAGGGAGACTCCGCTTAGAGACGACGAGCAGCGATCCCGGACAACAACGTCGCGGAACAGGTTTCGGGAGAATGTCTTACTCCCGACGATTCGGTGTTCGACAGTCACCGTCGCGCCGGTCCGCGCGCTCCTTCGTCGCGCACATCGGGGTTTTACTGCCGGGGGCGACGTAGAAAGTATAACGCAAATAAACCGCTGATAAAAGCGTAAAAGCGCGGGGCCGCGCGAGACATGCAGCGCCACGGGTAAACAGAAGTCGACCTCCGAGCCGATCTCGATCGATCTCGATCGGTCGAACGCGAGAAATAAATCCGGGAAAAATCCGAAGCACGCTACGCGACCACGGAGCAACCTTTGTCCCCTGCGACCGTTCTTTGTCGCGGCCGGAGGAACGTGCTCTCCCGGGAAAGATGACTCTGAATATGTAATATTTTTCACGCTTTCCGGTAATACGCCGAGGAAAATATCATTCTGCTACACTAAGAAAAGCAATTACTCAGTGTACCTTCCCTCTTTTACGCAGCAGTTATTTTTAACCGAAATATTTTCTTGATAATAGTTTTAACATGTACTCATCGCAAATTTGAGAAAAGTTAATTATCACGCATGTATGTGTGTATGTGTGTGTGTGTGTATGTGTGTACTCAGAAGAATTTATTCTGTTTTCGAGAATATTAATTTGAATAAGCACAAACCGAAGTTTATTTTAATTTAATATTCTTGAAGTACTCAACTTATACTACACAGGAAAAAATTGCGTGTTAAATTTAACAAATTTCACATAAAGTTTTGTGTGAATTTAATATAAGATGAATATGTTGAAAATATTATGCAAATATTATGCCAAAAATTAACATAAATCTATAATATGTTAAATAAATAATATCTATAATATGTTAATTAACACGAAAATGTAAAATATGTTATTTTAACGTTTACAAATATGGTTTAAACACTTAAACATATTGAATATCGATTCAACACAAAATATATATTGAGATAACGTAAGCACGAAATATGTTAAATTACCACACGAGTAAAAATTTAATACAAAAATGTTAACCAGGACTGATTTTTTAACATAAGTACAAAATGTTTTTTACCGTGCAGGACTCCAGAATATATTTTGAGTAAATTTGATGCTCGTAATGAATTTATGATATATTTGTGGATATATAAATTTATGAAATACTCGACATTTCCTTGAACGCAGTATGTATTTTTCTGTGTATATCCTTGAGATCGTTAATGAGATATCGAAACTGATCTTGAAGGAAAAATGAATGTGATTAAACATTAAAATATTACTCGTAAGTATATATATAATGTTTGAGGAAATTAATCTATCGCGGTGATAAGGAGTTTCTGAGAGAGGTCTCGAATTTGGTTGAATTCGTTTCGCAATTTCCAGTTTCCCTTGAGAGTTCTCGAAGAACGCCGCGATTTATATCGTGTGTACGTGACTCACGAGGAGTCCGACGTGCAAATGTATTCAACGAAAACAACGTGCGATCCACGATAAGCGTACAAGAGCGATCTGCACGTGCAAATTGAGATTACACAGCCGCAGCTATATTAGTAGATCGATAAATAGTGGGAATAAGACGCAAAGGTTGAATGAAAAAAAAAAGAAATATTTAACTCGCGTTCATGTTGCGTTGGATCGCTTCGCTCGTCGTTCCCGGTTTGTTTCTACGTGACTTTTTTCACGAAGGAGATAGCACACCGACTTCTTATCAATCGACAGGACAATTCAGTGTCAAATATTAACCGCCGTGACGTCAAAACGAACTCGTTCGCTCGCGAGTCGACGCGGAATGCGTGACCTCCTCCGATTATTCACCACGAAACTTTTCCTCGTCCCGTTATTTTCTCCTCGTAATCATCGTCGTAATTACGAGCGGCGGGCCGAAAATTCCTGCCATTCCTAACAACCGATCCACCATTTGCCTGCGGCACGAAACGCACCATCAGCATGTCCACCGACTACGAATCCGACGCGACTCTCACTCGCAACTTCGGCCAACCACGTCGCCGCGGAACTCTCAATCTGCGGACACACGTGCGTTTAAAACCGAGCTTCACCGAGCGTCTCTCTTGGAACGTCCCTCGAATTATTCTTCGTAAAGTAATTCGGCTCGAATTCGCGCTTCAGACCACTCGTAACTCACGACAGAATTCGACAGGAAATTCTATTCTGACGCAATTGTTCGCCCCTTTTTTTTATAATCAGCTTCTCGCTCAGAAATCCTAGAATTTCTACGAGCGCGGGAAGCTACCGGAGAGGTGACAGGTAGTCGGACAAAACGGCGCTTACTGATCGATTGTATTTCAAAATAAGCGAATGTACATTTTCATTGAAAAACGGAACGAACTTTCGCATCAACCCGATGGAATTTCCGCGGGGAATACTCGGACATTGAATTAAACGCATACGCGTACACATCTATGAACGATCGATCCTTTCAATCCAGTTTCCCTCGTCAGCGGAATTCCCGCTCTAAATTCAACGCTGAATTACAGATCGTTCCCGAACGATCCACAGAGTCAAGCGTGCGAATCGAACGCCGCAAGGCGGAATTCAACGGATTCGAATTCTTCTCACTGCCGAGGAGCTTCCTCCACCTCGGGACCGCCGTTCGATCGGACGGATTCGCCGCGATCCTCGCATATATCTCGCGCGTTTCCCGCACGGTAACCTTCACTGCCATCGGCGCGCACTGCGCCGTATTTCACCGATTATACTCCCGAGAGCGGCTGAGAGGCCCTTCACCACGCGCGCTCTTTACGTCCCTGCCGAATCAAAGAGCCGAAGAGAGCGAGAGAGATTACCCCTGGTCCTCGTCGGCGGCTCCCTGCTGCACGATGCGGACCACGTCCGTCGTCGACATCCTCGCCGTTCGTTTGCGCGCGCGCACACACACCGGCCGGATCAATCACCGAGCATCCTGCGGTCTCTCCTCCTCCACTTTTCCCGAAGCGAGGTCCTCCTGGACCACGCCGACGTCGGAGGTCACCCGCGAGCCTCTTCCTCCTTTCTTCCCTCCGGGGGAGGAGTCGGTTTCTCTTCTCCTCTCGCGGCCGAATTACGTGGGAGACGTGGGTCTCCTCGCGGATAAAACCACCTGCGCGCGACGACGACGACGGCACACGTGTGCTCCGCAGGCGGGTCGCCGGCTTGAATGCGTGCGTGTCCAGGCTGGCTGGCGCCCATCAAGGCTAACGTACCGACGCAAGAGCGGTCCCGGGGGGCCCGTCCTCGCTCTCCGTCTACCTGGTCCCCCGAGTCCGGGGCGCAGCAGGGGGAGGTGGAGGAGGAAGAGGCGGAGGCCCGCGAAACCACGAGGAGCTGCACACACGACGGTGAACACCTCACTGAGGTCCCCCCGACGAGTGTCGTTGCTTCGCTCACTCGCGCGCTCGTTCGCTCTCGTCGTCGGTCTTACCTGTGCGCGCACACATGTACACACGGATGCACACGTACGCAGGCACGCCGCGTTTTTCCACGCCTGTCCGTGTGCGGATGGCGGTGCGGGTGTGTGTACGTACGCCGGCCCGTGTTCTCTTCGTCTTTTACCTGCTCGCGAGTTTGTGTGGAGGAGCGCGGCGTATTCTTTTCCTTCCACTCGCGCGCACGGAGGTATGATTCTTAATATCACGTGTGTGCGTGCGAGTTGGGCGCGTGTGTTCCGTACGGTCGTGTTCTCTTCCTTCTCTGCCCGCCACGCACGTGGAATTCTTCGGCTCCGCGTGTGTGCGTGCACGTGCGCGTCTGTGTGGCGCCGTTCTACCTGTTTCCATAGGTGTGCCGTTCGCTATCGGGGAGAGGTCGTGTGCAAGTGTGTGTACGTGTGAGAACGTATCTATGCAGCGAGGGTCAGTGATGTATGACGTGTTCGAGCAGCCCGAGGGAAAAATCGGGATTTCGCGAGAATAATGCGATGATGCGGGCAAGAGCAAGAGGTTTCGAGACTCGTCGGAATGATTTCCGGGGCGAGATGCTGAACTCCGATCGCTGACCGGGACTGCACGAGGATCCGTCGGTTTCCACGGATCTCGTGTCCCGAGAACTTGAATAAACTTAGCGAAACGCGACGACGACGCTTATCGAGCGACGATAGAATTCTCTCTCCCAACGATAATCTCTCCCGAGTATCTAACGTAATCGTGTCCCCTCGCAAAATTCTCCCCTTATTCTCTCCATTTTGTCCCTCCAACGCTTCATCCACCATCGATAATCAGATTCGTTTCGTCCAAATATTTCTCACGCCGACTTCGTCCCGTCGCCTGTTAATTTTTCCAAGACGCAAGCTCCCGAAACAGATCTCGCTTTCTTGCGCGCGAAGGCGGAACGATCCGGCAGGCGATCCGCGATACGTCAGTGACGATGATCCTGTCGATCGTCGGCGCGTTGCAACGCGTGACGTCAATGGATCATGCAGCGTTCGCTCTTTTTGCACCGAGCGAGAAGGGTACTGGAATAATTTAAGTAACCGCCGCAAGCAAGGTGAGGAGGAGAGCGATGTCGCAGGAAATGATACCATTGCGAGGTTTCCATCGGGTATGCGGTCAATGTTATTGCCGCAACGTTATTTCCTTCGTGTGATTCACCTGCATGGAAGCATCGGTATCGCCGTAATCGTCGCGGTGATACTTCATTCCTCGCTTAGCGTCGTGTCAGGCGGCACCGTCAAGGAACAAAACGTCCATTTCTGAAGTGTTTCTGTTCCTTATGAATATTACCGCATTTCGTGTTACGCGTTCGCTGTCTTCTCGTTAAAAATATGATGCGAGCTTGCACGCTCACTAAAAACAAATACGAACGATGATGTAAAATGAACGGTAAACCAGGATGTATCAAGCAAAAATAACGATAGTTTAAACTAAGCATAATAACGACGCGTTAAAATTTCATGTAAATTCAGCAATGTGTGATCAATTTAATTACTTCACGCCCCGTGATCATTAAGACAAGTTAATTATGAGCGATAATTTAAAAATAACGGTAAACAGGGATACATCTAGCAAAAATAATGATAGTAATATAAAATAAACATAATAATGATGCATCGAAACTTTAAGTAAAGTTAATAATATGTGTTCAGGTAAAAATAGACGCGGGGGTGAAAGAACGACCGGAAAAATAATGAAGACGAACGAGTTCCGTAGATTTTCACACCATCTCGTAATACTCCTCGCTCACGATATCCTCGCGATTTATTACATTCACTGTACTAACGGTCGTGTAAGAGTACACCGGTCGTTCGATCGTACTTTCGGTTTCTTCTTATTCCATTCAGATCGCTTGCGGTAAACTATCGCGCGACTGGCACTCACGATTCTCTCTCTTTCTCTTTCCGGACGAGCGCCTGCCGCGAATGCATCTCGCGCCTACGCGGAGAAACCTAGGTGTGCTGCGACGAAAATTCGAAAGGACGCGGAAGGCGATGCTACCTGTTGCGAGCTATGCGACCCGCGAACGCGTGCACCTGTCGAGCGCGAATGCACGGCGTGGGATGCATTGTCACGTAGCGAATAACTTGGACGCGATGACAAGCTGTTAGTCAGCTATTATTTGGACAAACTGTCGTAGGCACCACCGGGTTAGCCGTCGCAGCGACAGAACGACACTGATGAGAATCCGCTCTGGACGACTTACAATTTCGGCGACGGAATTCGGAGCGGAAGTCTGTCTTTGTGTATAAAATCAATCGATTGCGAAGAGACAATGGATGAATATATATTCATTTTTATAACTTTACATAGGGTGAGACAATAATTATTATTATTGTTATCTCTTCGATATCTTCGAAAAATAAAAAGATGTTGGAAGATTTAAAAATATTTTATTATCTCCCTATGTATCTATTTATATCTATTACATTTTGACACGAAAATATTTTATTAACGACTAGATGAAAAGATGAGGAAGTTTACGTTTACAGAAGGCGTTCGAGAGGTGATGATCATTAATATCAACGCAATTTCTGTTAAATAAATTTTCCTCTTGTACTCTCATATTTTGAAGATATTCAAAATGTTAATAATAATTATTGCCTTTCTCTATGCATAAATCTCGACGAAAATCTTCAAATATTTTCTATATTATACGACACATAAAATTATATTATAGACAGAATTTCTCTTTCTTCGAGTTATGTCGCAAAAGATTTTATAAATATAAAAGAATATAAAATTGCATTAGACGAGAAGATATCGTTTTAGTTTTGATCGACTTAGAAATTTCATTACGTGACCGGGAATACCGAATTATTATCGCGCGTAAATATGAGCCCGCGCAAGGCGGTTTTTTAAATTCTACTCACGCACCGTCTGTGTGAATGGTAAAGCGGTAGCGTGAAATGCATTCGATCGCAGGTGAGTGCATGGACCTCGGCTGGATAATTTTTCCTTGTACTTTTTCCTTTTCAGCAATGCTATCATCCCGACGATGAGCTACATTTATAATATAGCTACATAGCGAGTACGATCTCGCATTTTGTGTGTTTCGCTGAATTTCTCGTAAAATTCTCTACTTTATACTGGAAAAAGAAAATTCTACCAAACTATCTGTACATCTTGGAACTTCTCGTTGCTATTATCTTTCTTAGCGATTACGTCTATTGCCAAGATACCATTGACAGAGACGAGTCGTGAGTTTCGATTAAAAAATGATGAAATTTTCGACCGATAAGAGGATACAGTTAGAAATTACGATAATAATACAACGACGGCGGCGAAATTTTCTTCCATTGCGAGATACAACGAACATGCTTATAAAACATTCGATTGCGTCTGTTCCTATTGCAAAAAAGGCAGTTTTTGTCACCGGAATACTACAGAACCGTCTGGAGTACTACAAGACAGTGAAGCTATTTGCAATGGCGAAGGTCAGGGAAACAGCTCTTGTAACAGTACCTGTCGCTTGTTTACCTTCCTGACAAAGTAAACATAGAGATATGGTCGCAGATATGTGTCACTTCAAGATGTCTTAATTTTATGAAGAAGGTTAATTAAATTAAATAAAGAAAGAAATACAATTTCAGAAAGAAATATAATTTGCTTAAAATTACGCGTCATGTCAATGAAAACGCCGCTCACGCGAGCCGTTTAAATTCTCATTCGCTCTGCGCAAAGTTGCTCAAGAGCTCTAAACTAATGACAATGTGTAATCACAATGAAATCAAATACATCTTAACTAAAATATATATATTGAACCGGTCGAAAAGTTTGATTCAAATTATCGAGTGAAATTTGACTGTACTGCATTCGAAACGAAAACTGATTGTTCGTCAACTGAGTAATCGCCGCTATAGCTTGGATAGTCTCTAATATTTTAGCAGGCCAGTTTATCACTCAAGAAAATTTCATGAAACTTTTCGACAGACCCGACATTTAATATTTTCCAAGTACTCACGCTAATCTCAGAATTTCTCTCTGCTGGATCAGCTGCTCCTCGTGAAGTATTTGGAGTATTCTGTCCACGCACACTCTCGTTCTCTTTTTCTTCCTCGGCATCGCGTCACGTCACAGAGACACTTCTGACGGTTGAGAAGAACCGTCCGAATGAGAGATCTCTATCTTTCACTCTCTCTGAAATTACTTTCGTAAACGAAACCGTCAACAGTCGGTATACACGACTGTAATATAGTACGCGCTATCGGGATCACATACGACGTCGTACTGGCTGGCGATGTTGACACCGGCGCCTCGCGGGCTAACGAATGCCCGCGACGCATTGTGTTTACATTTCTTAAATACCATGACGTCACAAACAACATGGCGCAAATAACGCGAATATCTTGACAAAAGATATTCTGCATGTGCCTTGTTGAAAGAAAGTTCTATATTAATTTCACATACAAAAGATTGACTGTTGCTGTTTTTTTTGCCTTTTTCTGTGTTTTTCTTTTTTTTTTAGACTGTCTAGTATGAGACACGCGCTGCTCGAAATAACGAGGAGATCGTGTCAAATGAGTGAGATTCCATGGAACAGTTCTACTGCTTGAATCAAGAGAACAAGCGATATTGTAATATAAATATCTTCGTTAAAAATTGGAGATCAAAAGGGACAAGAGATCACAAGATATTGAGAGAAGTACACTGGATACTTCGAACATCTTCCAGGTGATACAGGCACACGAAGAGGCAATTCCCTAATTGTTTCGAGCGGCGTGTAATATATATGTATATATATATATATATAATATTTTATATATATATATATAATATTGTACTTAGATTGATCGTGTGTATAATCAATGTAAATTATGCTATATTGCACCTGTGATATATAAGAGGAATAGCGGGAACGATTGCGGAAACGTCGTTACCAGTGTGGCTAGTAGCGAGTTGTATCGCACGGCGTATGCACAGATGTAACTCGAAAAGAAGAGAATCATTTCGGGATATCGCAATCTTGTTTTCTCATCTACGGACACCTGCAAATAATTCGGAATCGACGCTCTCCTGCAATTTTATGCAATTATCTGTCTCTCTCTCTCTCTCTCTCTGGGAGAAAGATCAAGTCGATCGAAGAATTCACCGGAGGGAGGTGCGGGAAAATTGGAGGAACACTCTGATAAACGTCTTAATGTTCTTCGCAGATTCTGTGCGCGTTTTCCTCTCGTGGTACGCACGCGCGCGCTCGCGCGGTCTGTGAACAAACACCCTGGTGTTGCAATCACAATTCAGTAGAAGACTCTTCAATGCATTGATATATATATAAATAGCGACATACACACTAGGCGACCACGTTCGAGAAAAAGAAGAGTCGCGGCATGGCGTCCCGCACAATAAACAGTCTTTTGGAAACAATTTATACATATATGTAAAATACATATATATGTATGTTTATATTCACAGTTCACAGTTGCGAAATTTCAAAAGAATCACTTTCGCTGCCGATGGCTCGTCGCGGTCGTACAACGTCGAAGTGTGTCGTATTCGCGACAAGACGATTGAGAGAAGCTATCGCGATATCGAGTAACGGAGGGCGAGCTTGTGCATCACGATAGAGTCCTTGGTCGGAGAAAACGCGAAACGCAGAATGGGATCCCCTCGCGACAACGCGAAGTGAATCCTCCCCATGTGTGGGCGTGAAAACTTCGTCAAGTTTTTACCGCCTCGACGAGTAGGATTTTGCTGATATTCGGTGAATCACATATCGGGCCCCGCTACGCGAACGATGAAGCATTCGCGACGATTTCCCGGCGATTTCCGTCGTAAGTTACGGAGAGAAATATCATGTTGTTAATTCGCGCAATTCGTCTCGCCCGAAATGTCGCGGATGTTGCGGGACATCCTCGACCTCAGCTTGAGAGCTTGTCACTATAATACACAGCTAACTGCACTTTCCCTATGATGGACAATCGTATGCTTAACAGTAAAAGTACGAGACACACGTATATTATAAAATTGACAGTTACGTGACAGGCGATACGCGGTATCAATGTACAGTACTACGGAGAAATTTCCTTTCTCTCTCTCTCTCTTTCTCTCTCTTCTCTGTCTTTCTATATCCTGTTTCCCTTTTTTACACACTCTTTTACGTCATCGATGTTCCTGTGATGATGAGATCACGCGTAAAGATCTCCGATCGCTCGGATCCGCGAGGAGAGACGCGAGACTGGCGATGCAAGAGCCCCTTTCTCTCTATCTCTCTTTCTTTCTCTCGCAATCACATTAATTCGCATAGCGAGCGTCAAAATATTACGTGATGTTTCGAGAAAAACGTCTTGCACTGCATTTTATGGCGCAATTTTAAAAACGAACAACGCGACATCGAGCACGCACACGGAAAAACGTCATTCGAACAGCATACACACGGTGTGCCAAAAAGAGACGCACTCCTCGTTCATTCGCTCGCGCTCTCGCTCCGCTCTTTCATTCCGCGTCTCTCTCCCTCTTTCTCGCGCGTTCGCGCATCTCTAACGTCCTCGCTTTCTGGCATCAGACCACGCATTATCTAAGCGAAAAAGTGGACTTACGGTCGCGCTTAATCTATCTTAACGCTACGAGAAAAATGTCTAGGATAAAGTGTCGCGTCGACTAACGTTAGAATCTGCGGGAGAAACGGAAAGGGAAACGGAGACGGAAACGTGAGGGAAATCCGCGATTATCGCGACTCCGCCTTCGTTTTCGGCGGCCTGAACGCCTTCAACTTCTTCGCCTTCTTCTGCTTCGTCGCGCTGGCGCCGGACTGGAAAGCCTTCCAGCTGTCGACGCGCGACTGCCTGGACTCCTCGAAGTTGCGTTGCCACTCGCGGTCCAATGCTGCCTGAGCTTCCGCAGATAATTCCTCCTCACGCTTTCTTTTACGCTGTTCCGCGTCTCTAGTAGCTAGCTCTCGCCTGCGAAGCAGGCACAGTGACGGTTAGTGAGGCATTTTTCGAGGCATTCAAGGAGATTGATAAGAGATCAAGGATTTAAGGTTGTTGGGAATAAATAGTTTTTGAGTAAGATGAAAATTTACCTTCTTCGCTCCATATCAGCGAACAATTTCATCGTCATCACCCAAACAGCGTGCCGATAACCTTCCTCAGTTTCTTCCTCTAGGAGCGTCGGACCCGAGTTCTCGGATTTACCCTCTTTCTTCAGTTTTTTCTTCTTCTCTGCAATCTATAAAAAATATTCGGCGTTGTCAATTGTATAAATAAACGAGCTGCATTACACCTTACTGGAGAATCTCAAACGCTAATTGGTCAATCCATCTCAAGTGATACAATTATGAGTTGTCTGGTTGTTCGATTATATAAAAAAAATATCTTTTTTTTGTCAGTTATTATTCCTATATGTCAATGGTTCAAAGCTATCTTTGTTGTTTCCTTTCAAAAATAACGGCCATCTGAAAATACGACGGACAGCAATTTTCGAATTTATGAAAATGCAAATATCTCAGAACTGAGAAGAGATAGAATCTTAAAACAAAACCCATTGTTTTCGATAAAGTTTAGGCTACATTTTTAGATTAATGTATTTATCTAATTTCACCTTTCGATGGTGAAAAGAGTGGCTGAAGTATACTAAATATTTGTAAAATTATCATTTTTCGAGGTACTTTCGAAAATTGCTGTCCATGTTTTCAGATCATTCTTAAAAAAGAGGAAGTAAAAATAAAATATTGATAATTTTAAACTACCGACACATAAGGGTAACAACAAAAATGAGATTTTTAAAAATGGACAAGTAACCTGTATTATATCACAATATATCAATATATATAATTAATATATGTATAATTATCCTAATTAATATATATAATCATTTGCTTACCATGTGATCGGTCCGAGCCTTTGCCTCCTCAATGACGTCCATACACTTTGATCTAGTTTCTTCGTTCTCCAAAGTTTTCCATGCCTTATTGACAACTACAATTGACAAGATAATTATTTTTTACACGTTTATTACAATATATTTAATATCTTCTCATTGTTGTACTCACTTTCGAAAGCTTGTTGTGCTCTTTCCGCGTCATCCTGATTTTTGTCTGGATGTACCAAAATAGACATCTACAAAAAAAAAACAGAAGAATCAGGTCTGATTGCTCATTTCAGAAGAATGTAAAGTTCTTTGCACATAAAGATACTCACACGACGATATTTCTTTTTTATTTCATCTATTGCAGTATTTGGATCAATCTGTAAGACTTCAAATGGATTCAAATTAAAGTAGGATGAGCCGGGTCTTAGTAGTCTGTCAATTTGTTGCTTAGGTGTCAGCACAGAATCTCTTTTCTCAATCTCCTTAACCTATAGAGAAATGCAACAAAATTGTTATGAGTATATTAGAACATGTTAGAACAACTATTGCAATAATAATAATCCAATATTTACTATAATGAGATAATATTTGTTTGTGTACGTATGTGGATTTATAACATGTGTATAATGTATTTCATATATTTATACTTTATATAATATTAGCATATACCATACATGCCTAATATCTCTTATATAATTATCTATCTTTATATCTTAATAAATTGTAGCATGTGTTTCTAAAATCTACAGTAATGTCAGATGAAGGAACGTAAAGAAAAAACAGATACAACTGCTCACAGACGTAAGCAGTTCTTGTAAACAGATACCATTGTACAACAATGACATTATCAGTAGCGTGTCATGTTTATTTTCCTCATAAAGAACAGAGTATGAAAATGCCACGATTGCAAAGCGAATAGGTGCGACATAGAGAAAATCGGTAGAAGCGGTTTGATCGTAATGGTATCGAGAAGTAGTCCCGTGGAAAGCCTAATACATAGCGAAAGAAGAGAAATACTCACTTGGACGCAAACACAAACACACCCGTATAGGTTAGGAGTCATCGACATTAAACGCTATTTACCACGATAATATCGCTGATAAGCTTAGCACGATCACGTATGCTAATTTAGAACAATGGACGCATAAATTAACATTCGAAAACATGTGCCCTGTTATTTTATTTCGAGTGTAGAGTGATGTTTGCAGGACCTGCTGAGAACTTTGTTTACGTGACTGTCAGAGCGCGGAAACGGGAGTACCGGTTCACTGATAACACCGTGCACGAAAAGACGCTGGAATTAATCGGGATTCGCATACCTCCGTGTAAAATTCGTTGAATTCATCTTCTTTCTTGGCGGGATTTTCACTGGATAAACTTGACTCGGTGGCGGCCATCTTACACATTAGGAGGTCCAGATTTCACGGTGCCGCCTATCTCGTGTAAGATTGCGACATTATCGGCACTGCAATACCGACTTGGTGGAGAGAAAGCTCTTTTCGACCGAGTTGTCACTTATTGACATTAGAAAATTATGAAATAAAAGTCACTAACTGTGATATTTACAATTTTTATTAATGTCATTATTATTAACATCTGCACGTCGTCGTTGGTTTTCATCTAAATTGCTTGAAAATAAAGACATGTCTCATCTGTCGTTGAGTTATACTACGAGTTTTTGTCGACAAAAATGATGGCGGCTCGTAGCGGAGGCTTCGAAACTAAAAATCGATCTACTAGTCTATTCAAATGCAATTAAAAAGTTTAGTTACGTTTGTTATGCTAAATGGGTTTGAGTCTCGTCTAAAGAGGGTTTGAATCTCGACTAAGGACATGTATACTTTAATTACTTCTGTTAAATTATAAAAAAAAATAAATGATTACATTTACATTGTTTCACTCTAATAATTTTCCATCGTTTAAATTTCTACATAGTACGAAACTATACAGTAATTCTGTATAATATGAAATGTAAAAGAATAAATATCACATATAAAATAATATGCAAAAATTCATATATAAAATATTATAATATAAGATATCTAAAATTTTCTCTAATATCACAAAGATTTTTCATAATATTCACATTTATAACAAATTAAAATCTTGTTACTTAAAAAATATAACAAATCATCTTTTAATATAAATACATCTCTTCAAAATATAAAATATAAAACGTACTTCAATATCAATAATCGGTTAAAAGAAAAGAGAACTATCGAAGAATCGGGAACAGAAAGGAGGCCCACTTAAAGACGTCGGCTGCGTTCATGTAAAATTTCGTAATATTTTATTTAACAAAGCTTATAACAGCCAATAAACGAGTAATGCCTCTTTCACGATAACAAAGACACATCGAACGAAATCAGAGCGTTATTGCGGCATACACTTTTCCGTCAAACTGATTTTGACTAGGATCTAAGTATAGTTTGGCGTACTAGCCTAACATACAATGTCGCTACTAACTATCCCTCCCTCCGGCGGGAGAAACTCACACGGGGGTGCGATAAATAGGAGGATCGGTGGAGTAACTGTATAGTGTGTAACGCTATGACATCTAGCACTTGTTACGTCTCGCTAATCTAGCATGACTTCTACTAGACTAATCGTTTACTATTGAACACTTGTTCAGACATAAAGCCGTTACCGTCGAGTCGCGAGAATCCACACCACTGATATACGCAGTTTTCTAATGTCTGCATCCTTAAGAGGATTTCATCCCAAGGCCGGATATCCGAGATACTTTCGACACGCGCACATTGAAAGTCTGCTCTCGCAGATTGAAAGTCGCGAATGGAATTCTGATGAATAGACTTACTGTACTGTGGGCTCTGCGAATGGCTCATGTTACCTCGAAGAAAAATAAATGCAATACGAATGGAGCATTATTAGAGCTACGTTTTCTGATATACGTCGAGAAATGATTTCAGGAGCCGTACGTCCTTCACGAAGCTCTTCTCTTATTTTCTCTTCACGTTTTATAAATTAAATCGATTTTAATGAGATGAAAGAATGACACGAAAATGACAGGAGCGCGCGATTTCACGAGGAAACGAAAGAACAAGATGCGGTTCTCGCGATTCGATTGTAACGAAACATACAAACTTCACAACAGTGTTAATTTTCTTGCACGTGACTATACGCTACGGCAACTAGGCGATTAATGGCATCAACAGACGAGAAGTGGGGTAAGCGGGGTGCGTAACAACGATTATTCTAATCCATTACAGATCCAGTCGAGTCGGAAACACGCGGCTACATAATAAATGTCCCGCGAGATCGTGTTATCGCGATTCAACGCTGTATCGGAGCGACACGCGAAACACAATTTTTCGATAAAACGCAATCTCAGTGCGACAAAATTATGAATATTCATCGTGTGTAATGCGTAATTCATTTTCCACAACGTAACGGGTATCTTCAAAAAATTGCACACAGCCTGTAAAAATCATGAAAATTGTTTGCAAAAATTTAACTTGTACCATCGTAAGAATATTAATTTTTCCGATCGATAATATCTCGAGCGGAAATTACAAGTGCGATCGTAAAGAATAAACTTCGTTTTTTTTCTCGAAACGTGGATCACTTTTACACGCGAAAGGAACTTGCTTTTCATACATTTCAATTGAGTTCAAGATTGGCTGAGCTCAAACGACTATCGTGCGCCATTCCGCCGATATGCCTCGTTGAATCGCACGCTTACGATGCCGCCGATGTTTATTACAGCGCGCATTTTACAAAGTACGCAAAAGCTAGCTGAACTAACGATACTTCTATATATTTGAATACTATACACCGAGTCTCTAAGTAAAAGAAGTCACTTCATTTCGCTGATTGAAACGAACGGTGAGTGCATACGCGAGGTGACTGGTAATAAATCTCTAAGTTTCATACAGAGCGTCCCCCTCCGTGTCGGCGACAAATTTCCCGACCGATCAGCTCCGCGTCGTTTTATACTCGTCGCTCCCGCCCGCAATCGCGCTGAAGATAATCTCATTGTGAGATGTCGACCGAGATTCTTATTAAACCCAACAGAAACGAACTTGTATCTTTCAATCTGACAGACTGATTGAACAGACGACACACGATCAAAATTACGACAATTAAACGACTACATTATGAAAGAGAGCATCAATCTCGGGAATTATGACGATAAATTTCTATCGATTGCTTCGAATGCGCACCCACTTTTGCGAGGATCTCATCTCGAGGGGGGCACCCTGTACAAACGTCTCTCGCAAAGAACTGAACGGTCTCGAGGGGTGTCGGTCTCCTCAGAGGGGTTTCCCCGTGAACTCGCCCACGAAGAATTTGCCAAAATATATTTCTTCGTAAAAACGTTACATCTATATACGCCTTATTCTCGATATGCACCCGAAGCGCTTACCATTAATAGAAAGCGGATATATGTATATCGTGTAAAATGTATACCATGTGCGCGCCTGACGCGTGTAGAAGAGCGGATCGAAACTTTAGATTCCTTCTTTTTTTTCTTCCTTCCCTTCTTTCTTGCTTTCTTTCTTTCTTGCGTTTGTGTGAGACATTCGTGCGTGTCGCGTGAGCGTACGTGTGATATTAGACAAGACAGACACCGTAGTAATGCGATGATTATAGACAAATAGATTGGTCGAGAATATCATCTGCGAATTCGCAAACACACTTAATTAGGAGCGACGATGATCAGGAGAGTCTAAGGTTTCTTTTTGTCCGAATTCCCCGCGATTGACGCGGTTATAGTACACTTATCCATTATGCGTTCAGTATCGCAGTATATTAATGGCCCTTCGATGGTCGCTGCAATTAACTAGGCGCGTCAAATCAAGATGCTGAACGCCCTGGTATTTTGTTGTTCGTCAAACGAACATAATTCACGTCGATACGACGTTTGCGATTTCGCGACGTTCAAATATGACCGCGTGAACGAGCGGAATATTGAAAAACAGAACCGCTTGATGACGAGAGATGATGTTTAAAACTTTAGCGCGCAATTAGCGCGTAAAAATACTCCGTTGAATTTGAGAAGTAAAATTATCAATGATAATTAAACTAAATACAAATAATTAAATAACCAATTGCATGATTAAAATAAAGTTAATTATAAAATAAAATCAGTAATTAAACGGTCACAAGAGAGCGTTGAATTGCGTTAGGTTCGCGCAAAATTCACGAGAAATCGAAGGTCCATTAAGGGTCACGTTACAGTACTAGTACAATTAAGTAAGTCTACCATATACACGCTCTTTAAAACACATTCGGTAGATCTCTCATATACGACACCTATATACGCATTCGTTAATTTATACTTAGACAATAAATGGCTACTTTCGCTGAAGTGATCATCTTTAGCTCTACGGATCGTGTATCGCGCATTACATCGTGTACATCTCTCCTTCCACATCCAATTATGATGCTTTTAAGCCTTAATATGTAACTTCCATCTCTCTTTTCTTCTCTCTCTCTCTCTCTCTCCCCCGTCAAGCTTTCTTCAGCATTACGTACCTTTCTATGTTAATCGCTGCATTCGCTACAGAGAGTTCTGCGCAACGTAATTGCAAACGAAAAATGTAATGTGTTTTTCGACGAAATGATACGTCACAGTAGCAAATATATCGTTAATTAAACATCACGCGGAAAGAGAATGAACGAACCACGAATCATTCAACAGCGCAAATTGCTCGAGGAATAATAATCTATTAAAAACTCGATAACGATCAATTCAGCGAACAAGAGCTTTTCTCTCTCTCTCTCTCACAAAATTGCACCCAGCACGCTGTAAAAACGTGGCAGAAACGCACATCCAAAGGCGCAAAGCCACATATATTCGTTTACACACAATCTCGCGTGCACGCGCATACACACACACACACACACATGTACACACGCATGAGCACGCATACCTACACACACACACACACACACATACGCGTATAAACTTTCAAAATCTATTTGGCACTCTCCTAGTTTCGTCGAAAAGGCGAGCACGCTTGCTATTATTCTTCAATTCAGAGACATTGCATATCGAGTATAGCTTTACTCCGTCGCTACACGTACGGTTTTTTTTTCCCCCTTTAGCGTTACACGGTAAATATCTTAATAAGTCCATCTTAAACACGTTACACGGTAATTGGTCTAAGAAAGTTCGCCGTCGTTTTAAAAAATATCAGCCGCACCGGGACGAGTCGATCGCCCGGCGAGACCTCCCCGTTATGACAGCGCGGATATGGAGAGCGACTTCGCTCGCACCGCGCGATTCTCGCGGGTTCGCAGTCGCGAATCGCGATCGCAAGCGAATACGCGTGATATCTTTCCAATCAGAGCGATACTTTCCACATGGAGGATCTGCTGGGAAAAATATCAAGCGCACGTGTCAGTCATGCGTGTCCTTCTTGTTTGTTCTCCTCTTCGGGAATTTAGTATAG